AATTCTCTGTTTTTTGATCGCGAGAGGCGTTGATTGTTGACACAAGTTTTATATATTATCAAAGTAGAATACACGAAAGAGTTGCTACAAAGCAGTGTAGATATTTGTATTGGGCTGTAAAATATCACTTCAATTCTTTCCCTTTGCGGAAATGAGATTTTTCTAGAGAGGGACGTCTTACACACACACACACACACATATATATATATATATATACATATATATATATATATATATATATATATATATATATATATATGTATATATATATATATATATATATATATATATATATATATATATATATATATATATATATATATATATATATTATTACTCTGTTGAGATACATTGATTGTCGACAGGGACAATGCGATAGATAAAGAAAAAACCGGCATACGAATAGGCTAAGGACTTGCACTCTAGAGAGTAAGGTTACGAGATGCACATTTTGAAAGTTGACAGGTGTATTCACAACGCACAAGTATAAGAATACTGAATATATACTGTATTATGCCATGGCCCTCTAAAGTGAGAATTTCAGATAATATGCATGCCTGTAACATGTATGCCTGGTCGATGTTAAAATGTAGTGTACTGGTATGTCTAATCTGAGGACGAATAGGCTATCGTTTAAAAGCTCTCTTTCTCTAGTCTCTACAATTTACATATGTAACTACATAGTCTGTGTATATTTACAGTATAAAGAGCGTGCGAGTCTCGGTTTGTTCTTCGTTGTCTGGTTGGTCCGTAGTTGCATGTGTAAACAGCGCAACTAGTTTTGAATAGGTTCCATTACCACTGAAATCTTCTCCGTAAATTTGGTCCTATGTCGAATGGTCTATTTATATTTACCCAATGTTCTTGCCCGCTTGTGGTGTCATGGTGATCTAGTACAGAGTATACGTTTAACGTAAACGTACAAACGGTTGATACTTTTTTTTCACACAAACTGACCTACGTACTACGTATGAGACTATATGTATGTAGGACTTCAGAACCCAAACATTCCATGGCCTGTTCTCAATTCTGCGCTCTCAACACAAGAAGACAAATCCAGAGGACCTTGAACATCCACTCATATATATATATATATGTATAAAGGAGTATATCATAAATAAACGTTAAACGAAAACGTAAAATGCTTTGATTTTATACGTCGCAAAGTAAAACGTAAGGTAGTCATTTAGTCGATCTGATGACTGATAAGCTTTGGAACAAGCGGTCTATTCATATGAAGTCGAGTAAATACCAAAAAGCGTTCATCCTTTTTATAGACAAGTCATATACATTCGCATATGGATGTACATATGAAGGAAAACGAATAGACTGCATATATACAGTAGACACATTTCCATCGCCTTGTACATACATTAGACTCATCAATAAATCAATACATATTTAGGTGCACCAGACACTACGAACTTCGCTATGGATAGAGAAGCAGGGCTCACCAATCGACGTGTACCTACTCAGATAGACGACACGGATGTAGTAGATAATCAAAACGACCTTATTGTTGAGCTACAGCAACTTCGATCAGACAACCTGAAATTGTCCACTGCTGTTCTCGCACTCAGAGAGAGGTATGTACTGTGTGGATGTGGACTCAGATCGTACGTGCACTCATATCAATCACGATCATATACAATATATATATACATCTATATGTATGAAACACACACACACACACACACA